TGATGGTCATGAGATAGGATGATCTTGAATACCAGCATTGTTACTTAAAAATAAAGCAAGTCCTTTTGCAAAAGAGAGTAGATAGTTTCTTTCCTTTTACGCTGGTGTCCTGTGTCTCCTAGGACACCGTTCCTGAAAATAATAAAATGCCTGCTTTGTTTCTGGGTCCTGCTTCAAGCTTCTGCTTTAACTATAGGATAGTTTCATCTGTTTTAAGGATAAATACCTTCGTGGATAGAATACACTTACTATGCGTAGAGCAACCTATCATTTCCTCTTGCTCTAAATGTGGTGGATAGACCACCACTACACATTGTGCTCATGTTTCTACTTTTTCTACATCTTCCACTTCTCGTTTATTCTAAAGTGTTTTAGCTGTAGGGAACATCTGTCACAAAACCAAATGTTTATGTTCATGCGAATTGGCAGTTGTGTCAGCTCCTTAAGGTGAAGTTCTTCAGGATCTCTTTGTAAGCAGATGTGCTGTGACTGGAAAACCTTCTTTAATAATTGAGTTACGTACGATTAAAGTATCTGGAATCTGCTTGAGTTACTGAAGCAGCGTTGAAGATTTTTGTTTTATGAAAATACAATTTGCATTACAAATATATGCTAAAGTCGTGTCTGGAAATTCGAGCAAAGTTCTCTGCAGACTGTACAATGACCAAAATCTTCGTAATGCTAAAATGGGGGGAGTCATGCTTAAGATTATTAATTTATTATTAAATTAGATGTATTAATCATGAGAAGTACAGTTTCTTCACAGATTTTCCTCATGGACTTTCCTGGTTCTAAACAGCACTTTTAAAAGTTTGATTAGAAAAAATGAGTTTCATCTGTTCGCTTGCAAAACACTGCCGTAGTCTAGCAACCAACCCAAAAGGAACTGTTGCATGATGAAAGTAATATTTTGTATTTCAGTTACAAAGATGGAGCTCAATCTCTCTCCCACTCTGTGCTGTCAAATAGAGAGAGGACTTCTAATTCAATTTAAACCTCGTTCAGCTCAATCTTCTGTGGAAAAGTGTTGGACCCTGAAGCCAGTTTTCACAATAGCGTCCTGTTTTATGTTATTGGTGAGCTGCTTTTCCTCTAGGAGGAATACACAGAACCACTAGTTTTTGTATTAAGTTTTATTTGGTTAAAAATGTGTCCATCTTTTTAAAAGCAGCACAGAATGTTGTAGGTCACAGGTCTGAGTTTAGTGTCACTCAAGCATAATAGTTTTATGCAGTCTGTACTTTTCAGTGACTTTTTTCCTCTTCTGTGGCTCTACTCTGTGTACAGTTTCCTTCATTTCTACACTATTTGCCTGCAGTGTTTTCAGTGCCTTTTTCTCACCTGCTTTACCATTTATCCCCTCTTTCGTATCTTCCCAAGCCTCCTTTTTTCTCATTATAAGATGTCTGCTCCCTCTTTTCTGTTTCCACAGACCATTTCTCCCTCTCGGATGTCCTTCTCTCCCTCTTATTTTGCCTTCTCGCAAAACCTAATCTCTCTCTCTCTCTCTCTCGCTCTTTTAAAATTTGTCTTTTTTCATGCCCCATCCACTCTTCACATTCATTGATAAAGGCAGAAAAGTCTGATAATTTATGCCAAAGATAGTATTAGGGATCAGGATAACTATGGTTGGATGCAAAAGCAACCCATCTATCCAGCAGCTGTCAGTAAGGTAAAGGTTTGGTTCATGCTAGAGAATTTTCTGGAGATTTCTCCCATACACCCAAGTGGCTAAAATCACGAGTCAGCTGCTATCTTCATTTAAGGTTCTTCAGTGAGGAGCTTTCCTCTTCATTCCCCTTCTTATCTCAAAGCATCCTGCCTTCTTTCGGGAACTTTCTCTTGTAAATAAGCCTAACAAATCCCAGAAGATACCATACATTTTTAAGGTCTTACGCATGGACTTTTAATTTTGTTTTGCCTTTGTCTTACTCCTCTGAAATGTTGCGTGTTAGCTTTCATGAATAATTATAATCAGTTGTGAAACTGTTCTGTTTTGAAATGCGAATATTTCACAGAGAAAGGAGCAGAATTGATCCTTTCCAGCTATTCAGGTAACAACCAAACATAAGCTGTTCTCTGTCTTTGGTAGCTGTGCCGTACTCTTCACTGTAACGGTGGTTACTCACGTTTTGGACAGATGAAGGACTTCAGTTTTATGTTTTTAAGAAAATGTGTGGTATTTCCACTGTGTTGATTCATGCAGATCATCACAGGATTCATTGGGATGAGTGTTGGCAGAAACCTTGCTGGCTGAAGTACCCTATGTAGCTACTTGTTCAGAGTGGAGGTCTCAAATGATCTTCCTTTGCAGTTTGTAACATAACCGAGTATATTACCCAGGATTAACCAAGAGCCACAGGAAATTAATGTAAGATAGAATTGACAGAAAATGGGCAAGATAATTGCAAGTCCAGCATCTTTTCTCAAGATGTTTAGTTTTTCAAAAGGATCTTGGTTTGATGTGCCGAAGAAAGTTGAAACCTGGTTCAGTTTTGCTCCATGCTAGCAAACAGTTGTCAGACAGTAAAGATTGTCTGTCCAAGCTGAAGGTGAAAATGAGCAAGGTGGAAATGCGTGCAACCAGACTTCCCTGTTACGTTTTCTCCAGTCTGTAACTGGAGAATGTTTCAAACTTTCTCTTGCTCAAGGTGGTCAAGCTTGATGCATCTTCAGCTCTTTATGCTTTGACTAGGAAAAAAAATACGTATGGCTTGAACTTTCAAAAGAAGAGTAATTCTCAGTTTTATTGCTGGACTTCGATCAGTAGCTCTCCAGGTGCATTATAAAAGATGCTAGTATTTCAAAAATCTTCACTAATTTGGCACAGCCATCTTGACACAGGGTCTGTTTTTGACACACATTGAACACTTGCATCTTCTGACTTAAGAGGAAAAAGAAAGAAAAAAAAGAACGTAAAACAATAAAACCCAACCCCGTAGGCAGAATGTTTCATTACAATAGATGTGGGGTTTCTTTTTAATTATATGTAATAAAAAACTTGCAGATGATACCCACTCTTTGGAGGAGGGGATAAGACAAGAAAGTTCCCTTGCCTGAGGCACAGAGTTGGAAATATAAACCATAGTTAGCTGGCATTATCCTTTTTTGATAATAGCAATGTCACCAGTGATCTAATGATAACTTGTCCTCCCCTTTAATGATATGTTGTCCTGCAGATAATTGTGTGCATGATAGCAGATGATACAGTAAAATATTTTGATGGAAGACACAAACAGTTTCCTATATAATAAACTGCTTTTCTGTAGAGCCTGCATTCCCTCAGCGGGGTCTGGTGGTGTCTGCTCTTCCATGGGCAGGATTGTACCAACAGAGACTGGCTCTGTGGTGTTACAGAGTGTGTCCCAGCAGCTTTAGTGCTGATGCATTGCAACAGTGCTGGACTTCCATTGCAGCACGTTGTTTTCTATGGGGCTGCTGCTTCAGTCTGCAGACAGGAGAGCAGCCTTAGGAGATGCAAACCCATTGCTTAACAAAACTTCCCTTCTTCCTCCTCTCCCCTTTTCTTCACAGAAAATATCAGAGAGGAACCCGAGTACGCCTGAGACTGCTGGATCTTGAACTCACGTCTAGGTTCTTGGGCGCAACAACTGATACAACGTTGCTGGAAGCCGATGCCGTGCTTTTAGGGCTTGTGGAAAGCAAGCAAACAAAGCAAAAGGAATAAATTTCATGTAAATAAATGCACTTTGTGCTCTATAGCAAATTTTACAAATGAAATGTTTCCTCAGGAAATAAAGGAAAAGTTTCTGTCCACTTGGTTATGTAAATAATGAGATCAATAAAAGACAATAAGCGCATTGTACCTGATTTTTGGTCCATTTTTATTCACTCATCTTCCTAGCTCTCTGCCTTTAGACTTGAATGTGAAAGGTTAACTGAGCTTCTGTAGGTAATATTAGCTGAATGTTTGGATATTCTTGTATAAAGAGGTCCAGAGTTTGTCTTTCCATCCCAAAGGGATGTTGATCTAAGACATTGTACTTCCATGGAAGAAGTCCAAAGCTTGCTGTCATGGTGCTCCTTCCAGTATGGTGTTTCATACAGAACAACGTCAAGGGTTCCTGATTTCCAGGTTGCAGTGCAGAATGTTTACTGCAGATACTGGTTTTAATCTCTGTTATAATACATCGTGCTTTTATCTCCGTCTGCATGAAGAACTAGAGATTATTCTTTGCTTTAATTGGAGCTCTCATTTCCAATGCATGTTAGTAAATTTTCTCTGGTTGTTAATATAAATGAAAAGAAACTATTTCAGTGTAGTAGGTGAAGTGTAGGTCTTAGGTTTCTGTAAGTATATTTGAGATAAATGTGATGGGTATTTTAAACACACAACCAAAGAATCATGCTGTGGTGTTTCCAGTATCTTTTTGGAGCATTTGCTATCAGAGAGCATTTCTTCTGATTTCTGGTATATCCACGTCCAAATTCTGCAGTCATTTGCGACCTGCATAGTGCCTAGCAGGTGTGCTGAGGGCAAGGGAAATTTGCCATTTATACCACTGAATTACAAAAGAAAGCCTGTTTAATCTTAAAATATTTTTCCCAAATGTTGGAATAAAATGAGATTTGTTAAGGTGGTATGCCTTGTCTATCTGCAGTGACTGTCCAGTGACAATGTGTTTCTCGCTGTATGTACTAATTCAGCAAAATGCACGCTGGCTTCAGCGTATATTACTGAAATCCACAGACACCTCATCTTTCTGCTGGAGCAGGCCACGTGAGCAGTGATGGAGCCTCGAAAGGACGGTGTAGCTCCTTCTGCCTCTCATGACTGAGTATATTGGTATTTCAGTCACGTGAAGGAAGAAGAGATAAGGGATCCCTAAAGAAGCAGGGTACCAGGGAGCCAGCTCCAGGCTGCCACAGCTCACGGACCCCTTTCCTTGCCTGCGTCTGAGAGAGGCTTGGATAAGATAGCATCAGAGAGAAAATGGGAGCAATTCTGTGAGACTGCAGCTGGCCTGTGGGTCAGATTGCCACCCAAACTCTGCAAGTCTTCATACGGTCCAACAAAATTCATTTAGAACAGGATACAAAAGCTTTAATCTGTTTAGAGGTCTTTTCCAAAAACATTGTCATTTCTATTTTAAAGGTGGTTGTCTTTCATTTTTTTGTTCGAAAGCCTGGTTTAGTGGTGGACTTGGCAGTGCTAGGTTAACGGTTGGACTCGATGATCTTAAGGGTCTTTGCCAACCTTAATGATTCTATGATTCTATGAAAAGCGAAAGGAAAGCTGAAGTGCCTTTTTACCTGGAACCACAGCCCTATGGCACGGTGGTTTGATTCTTTCCTACTCTTCTGCCCCAAAGAAAAACTTTTCAAAAGAAAGAAAAGAAAACTCCTTTCCTACCTTTGCCCTTTTGTAACACTGAGAAGAGAGGTATAGTGCAGACATCACCTGCTACCGGTAGTTTCCAAAATACATCTCATGCATGATCTGTCAAGGAGAACATTTTTAATATCAGGTATTTATTTGCCCAAAATACTAGGAGGAATCACATGGAAAATGCATAATTATTCTGAAGGGAGTGGGCATGTTTTAGCAGATCCTTTTATAGTTTTGCAAGCTGACGTTTTGTTTCTGAAATCAGTAAGGTTCCAAGCATGAGAGAGGAAACAAGCAATGTGAGCTTATTTTGTTGCTTTAATTTGCTCATTTGTCTCAGTGATCTTAATTAGGGGAGTTTGGACATGAATTTCATTGGGTGTTAGCCTCCAGGGAAGGAGTTATCCTAGCACTGGAGCAGGAAAAAAAGAAGGCCTTTTTAAGAAGCCAAAAAGGATCTAAAATATCAGAGAGAAATCCTGTCTGTTGAATGTAACTCATCCTACGTGCTTGATCAGCCTTAAGTAGGAGTGATTTGGGAGGAAATACATGCATTAACGTTTCGGGGGCAGGCGAAGAGTTATTTCACAGTAGGGTATCAAATAGTGATTTTATCAAATCTTCCTCTGGATAACCTGTAGAGAAGTGGCTGTTAGAGACTGTAGCGGCTGCTATTTCAAATCCAGCTTAGTGTTTTAGGTGGAAACCCACAGGTTCACATAAACCAACCCAGTCTTACAAATTGTGTGGTTGAACCTTCAATGGCTTTAGGCTACTGCTAGCCATTCTGGCCTTTGGACAACCAGTCGTTCTCCCAGCTCATCTTCGGTGACCTTCAAAGCAGTTATTTATTGGACCTCTAAACTGTTCAGACAAGAGTTGTCCCATGGAGGAGGCTCTATTGCCTCAATTCTGTACAACTCCTAAATGCAGAATTACCATGACAGAGCAGGGAATTCTGAAATGTCTTTGAGGTGGGTTGTTGGGGTTGTGTCTCTGTCGTGGTTTAACCCGGCAGGCAGCTAAACCCCACACAGCCATTCGCTCGCTCCCCCGCAGCGGGATGGGGGAGGGAACTGGAAAAAAGGTAAAACTTGTGGGTTGAGATAAAGATAATTTAATAGGACAGAAAAGGAAGGGAAGATAATAATAACGATAAAAGAATATGCAAAACAAGTGATGCACAATGCAATTGCTCACCACCTGCTGACCGATGCCCAGCCAGTTCCCCCCAGTTTTTTTTGTTCAGCGTGACATCATATGGTATGGAATAGCCCTTTGGCCAGTCGGGGTCAGCTGTCCTGGCTGTGCCCCCTCCCAGCTTCTTGTGCACCTCCAGCCTCCGGGCTGGCAGGGCAGTATGAGAAGCTGTGAAGTCCTTGACTTAGTGTAAGCACTGCTCAGCAACAGCTAAAACATCAGTGTATTATCAACATTATTCTCATCCTAAATCCAAAACGCAGCACTATACCAGCTACTAGGAAAAAAATGAACTCTATCCCAGCCGAAACCAGGACAGTTTCATATTTGTAATACCTACATGTGCCAAGAATGTGTGTAGACTATATGTCCTTAATGCAATGTAAGGAACCACCAATGTTCATTACTGAACAACCACGATAGTACAATTGCATGGCCCTGTGTCCATAAGACTATTCTCATTTTTTACTCCAAATTTTTTATCAGAGTAGAAATTGATAACGCAAACAGGTATTTCTATGGTCATCCATACAGAAGAGTAACAAATGTAGACACTTTTCTGCTGGCTGCCACCTATCCTCAGGAGTTCCCTCTTCATGGCCGCAAGCCTTTTTGCTCCTTCTCTTTGCATTTTCTGCTGCCAGATGCACACAAGCGTGTGTACAACCCGTTCTTCTTGAACAATACACAGTGAAGTCTCCTCGTCCACATAGTTCGGATTCCTGAGTGGCCTTGCATGTGCCTTGGTTTGGGCAGTTGCATGAATCTGACTTTTTGTTTGGAGCTCATTCTTATTTCATGCATGAGGATAGTCATTTCTACTAACATAAAGGGAGGGTACAGCCACCCCAGCAGCTCCTGCAGCACTGTGCCTAGCCTGCACCACCACCTGCAACACTCTTCCCTTAAGTATACTACGTGTATGACTAATATTAACCAAATCAGTGCTACTGATTCAACATACCGAGACTTTGTAGCTCTAAGTGTAAATCCATCATTTTGCTGAGAATCCTGAGGCCGGTATAAGCCGAGTTCTGCAGCTATGTTTATCTGGCTGCCAAAATCAGGAATTTCTCTATATGCTATGCTGTGCTTTCTTCTAAATTTTGTAATTTTGTCTTACTCTGAAGCACTGACCAGATGAGCAAAGATAATTACTAAAAACATATGGATTTAATCTTGCACAATTCATTGTTTTGATTATGCAGCTGAGAAGACATTTGGTGTTAGCAGATCTCTCTCTTTGTTTCTTGATCTGTTTTTCTGAAGGTTCTTTTTCCTGTAACAGTCTTGATTTTGGAAAGTGTTTAAGGTTTTTTTTTGCTCTGAAAATTTTCAGGTAACAACACAGACCCCACTCCATTAGCAGATACTCAATTCTCCATCCTCCTCTATCAGATACTTTTTTGCGTGCTGCCCACATCTCTTCATGGACAAATTTCTTTCTTAAATTTGGATGAGCATGACAGATTCACTTCAAGTAGTTGTAATTCATGCTTGGTATGGTGTACAATTTACACTCGGAGATGTAACGCTGCGTGGTCAGAGAACAGCATGGAACACATCCTCGGCAGGAGGAGGAGGAGGGCTGGCTGCCGCCTCGGCCTCGCTGTCCCCGCTCGGTCGGATGCTCTACGTACATGCTGGCAATAGCGTGCTGGCTGATTCAGCAACAAGCAGCTGTGGGCAGGTACAAACCCTCACTTCTACACAAGCAAGAAATGTTTCCACGCGTTCTGCTAGACAGACACGCACTTTTTCTAGGCCTGTAACTGAAGTGCCCGTGAACTTCACCCCACCCCACGTCCACATCTTACTCCACCCAAATATTATACCTGAATGTCCATAGTGCTTTCTGGTTTTACAGGTGTGCTTATAAGCAAAGTTAGCTTTAATAAAAACTGAATCAAAGCTGGTTTGAGTTTTAGCTGAAGCAATACTCTGCCTTTTGTCTTATTCAGGTCCTGTTTTGAAGGCTTTAATAAGTTTTCTTAAAATTCTACCTTTTATTTTATGAACAGAACATTAAACACCTTATACATACTTGGAAAGCAAAATAGCTTTGTCATGATGTGGACTTGGAAGAAAAATGAAAATAGTTCAATGTTCTTTTGATGAGTGATGTGCTATAACAAGAC